AATGTAGTCGCTGTCATACCAATGTAGTGTTTAGTGTCGTTCATGTTGTTCGTTGTGACTCTTGCTTTGTAAATAATGTTGTTGGTCATGCATTGTTTTGGTAGTGGGCAGGTGTTTTTGTTGTCGCAGTTACAGTTGTCAGTTTCCGTATTCTGTGATTGATTGTTCCTAATTATATGTGCGTTATGTTTGGTGATTATAGACTTAACGTTGTTCATGCAACTGTAGCTTACTTTTAAAGTGCTTCTGTTAAAAATCTTGTGTAGTTTGTGCTGTAGCGGGAAGTGTTTGTCAATTAAACTTAAGAATTCCCGTCCTATGTTCGTGTTAACACTCTTACTAAATGGTGGGTTGAACCAAATTATGTTGCGTTGCCTATTCCTACGTGTCCGTTGCGGTGCATTCTCAGTGTACGTAAATTCATGATCAAAGTTACTATGTGTAAGAGCGTTCTGGTAAATAGGTGTGGATTCCTTAAATGTTTGCTCGTCCGATGAGAGAAGTGCAATGCGTTTGTTGATAGCTGTAGGTAATTGTCTTGTAATGCTTGGTTGATGGTTTGAGTGTCTGTGGATGTACAATGGATTGTCATTGGGTTTCCTGTATGGTTTGTGTTTTGTGTTGATCAGGTCGAAAGTAACATCTAAAAAATTTACAACGTTCATATTTACTTCGGCGGTGATTTTCAGGTCAAATTGCTCGAAAATTTTGTGTAGCTCTTTTCTAGTTTTGTCTAGTAAACGGGCGGATTTGCTTTTTATAATAGCCAAACCATCATCTCTATAAAGTCCGATGTTTTCCTTGCCAAACCTCTTACCTAAGTGATTTAAAATGAAAAGGCCTACCAGCTCACAAATTTCAGCGCCGTCGAAACTACCCATAGTGACGTCAAATAAACTGTTGTTTCCGTCTTTTTTTGTCCATAATTTGCCGTTGCCGAAAAGTAGAGATTTTCTTGCATGTTTTATTATTGAAATATCGTTTTCGGTAATAATAGTCAAATCCGAAGCCCAGGCCAATGCTTCATTTAAAAGTTTTTCGGAAATAGATGGGTAAAAATCCACAATATCAAATTAAATAAAACTGTGCCTGTCTTTATCGTTTATATTGCCAAACCATTAAATTACTTGTTGCGTATTTCTCCATTGATTTGAATTTAGTTTTTGTCTCAAATTGGAATTAATTTTATCTAAAATAACCTTACTTAGTTTTCCGGATTCGCTTTTTGCGGGATTAATTAGTCGGCATTTTTGATTGTTTTCGAAATTTTCTTTGTGATCTTTTAAAGATATAAATGCTTCGCGTTTTTTCATTCGTTCAATTCTGTCGCCAATTCCTAACTTACTCGAAATTTCTTTCAATTCGGAGTCAATTTCATGCATGAAGTCCTTTGATCCATGTTTGTACGTTTTCGTGATGTTATCATGTAAAAGTTCGTTGTATGTGTTCAGTGACGTTTCGTAAATGTTTCTAGTTTTGTCCACGAAAATGAAAATGTTGGGGGATGAATTAATTTTCTTCAAATCGTTAGCCAAAGATGTCTGAAATTGGTCTTTAGGATGCCGGAATTTTACGTTTTCAATTAGTTTTATCAAGTCGTCTTCGAAAGGTTTCAAAAGTGGAATTGAAGGAGGCGATTTGTTAGACGAAAGGCCGAAAAGGTTGCTTTGGTTTTGAGTCGTTGATCCTTTTAGGAAGAAATTAGCTTTCCATCTCATACGTTTCGTTACGCTTTCCACTTTTTAGATGTTACTTTCGACCTGATCAACGCAAAACACAAACCATACAGGAAACCCAATGATGATCCATTGTACATCCACAGACACTCAAACCATCCACCAAGCATTACAAGAACATTACCTACAGCTATCAACAAACGCATTGCACTTCTCTCATCGCACGAACAAACATTTAAGGAATCCACACCTATTTACCAGAACGCTCTTACACAGAGTAACTTTGATCATGAATTTACGTACACTGAGAATGCACCGCAACGGACACATAGGAATAGGCAACGCAACATAATTTGGTTCAACCCACCATTTAGTAAGAGTGTTAACACGAACATAGGACGGGAATTCTTAAGTTTAATTGACAAACTCTTCCCGCTACAGCACAAACTACACAAGATTTTTAACAGAAACACTTTAAAAGTAAGCTACAGTTGCATGAACAACGTTAAGTCTATAATCACCAAACATAACGCACATATAATTAGGAACAGTCAATCACAGAATACGGAAACTGACAACTGTAACTGTGACAACAAAAACACTTGCCCACTACCGAAACAATGCATGACCAACAACATTATTTACAAAGCAACAGTCACAACGAACAACATGAACGACACTAAACACTACATTGGTATGACAGCGACTACATTTAAGGAACGTTACGCTAACCACACTTCATCTTTTCGTCACTGCTGTAGTAATATAACGGTTGAAACGGGCGATATTTGTACAGTGTGTAATGACGAGGAATATGTTCATCAACGTGGAAAAACGAAAACGGTACGACCATGATGATGAGGGGTGTTATCATAATTTACTAGATCAACTTGAAAAAGTTTGTGCCTGCACGCTGCGAACCAATAATGAGTTTTTCATGTCTTTGTTGCGATGAGCGCTATGATTTTTCGGACATGTTTGAACAGCCGGAGCAACAGCTGGAGCAGGAACAAGACGATGGATACGCGGAAATGATGAAACAACATGATGAAATATACGCAGAAATGATGTGTAGTTTAAACGATATTATTGATGAAGATGAATAACAAACTTACTTGTTAAACTTTTTACAGCTTTATGGTATTCGGGATTGTTAAATATTTGCTTGTAAGTTTTTCGTATTTTAGTAGGCGAGACATAGTTGTCATGTGTATCAAAAAACATTTTATTATCAATATATGTAGACATGTTTACAGGATGACGACATGAATAACAATGCATAATAAAAATAATAAAATTGTATATAGCATAAAAATGAATAAATGTTTTAGACACATAATACTTCGTTTATTTTTTTGATAAACATGGTTTGGCATGGTAAATCCAAAACTTATATGTTTATTATTTATTAACCATATATCAATATCATGCATTTGTTTTAACTTTTCTTCTGTTTTTGTAAATTCTTCACTGGCGAAAAGTTCATCAAATCGTGAATCAAGTATGCAAAGACTGCACGGCAAGGTGGTGACATTGTTGACAACACCGTTCGGGTTGTGAACACATTTTGAGACAACAGTAGTAGTTGGTGGTTTTGGGTTGTTTTGCCAACTGTTTAACCCTTTGCCGCATAGATTTATTTTTGGAAAAATGCTGTTTTTCCAATAAGTGGAAAAGAAAATAATTTGTGCCTGAGACATTTGTCACATATACATCAAATTGTATATCAAATTGAAGCTTAAATAACACAGATTGTAAATATGCAACACATATGCATACATAATAGTTTCCATGGCAACACTGTACCCTTTCTTCCTCGATAACAGTAACGGTTAGTCAAGAAGTCCGGTCTCTGGGTGCAAACAAGTCAACATAATTCACTCCTAAAATTATTTTAATCACTATGATGTAAAGTGCATTACATGAGCTTTCATCTGGTATATAACTTTATCATAGCAAATTATTGTTTTCCCAGAATTTTTGTCACTTATTGATGGTACGTATTGCGCAATAGTGGCCAAATATAGGTTGGTTGAAATATACATGTACTTTGGAGTTCCATTTTTGGCATATCTTTGCTCACTTGCCATTCAGTTTTGGAAAATTAATGTCATGAATGTATTCTCCCATACAATAAACAATATTTACATTTTCTAAGGCACTTTCTATATTATCAGTAAGCTCAAAATTTCAAAATGATTTATCGAGGCACTTGACAGCCTAGAAATGCTTGATTGATAACAACATTTGGCTCGGTATTCAGACGAAATATCCAAGCACTCCCAATCAAACATTATATTATAATTTCGATCGAAAAAAATCAAAGATAACATGCAATATTCACTTATCCTCACATTATAAACATTGTTTACTCATGTTACAGCCATTATTTAAAGGGACAGATCTTCTTTCTTTCATAAAAATCGTTTCAAAAGGCATAATTCGTTCAATAATATCTCAAAATGTGCGCCATGACAGTACAGAAACATTTGGATAACATGAAGTATAATACAGTCCCTCACAGAGGCATCAGGGGCCAAAATGAATACAGGCTCAAGGTGTCCGATATATCGGACACTGTGCGTTAAAGGGTTAAATCTTTCTCGACGTTTTGCTTGTGCGACTTGTTGTTGTTCAAAGATACGCGGCTCGACGGTTTCATCACCCTCTGCATTTTGTCCGCGGATTACACTATGATTATCAATTTTTGGCCAAATCCGTTTATAGAGCGGCGCTGGATTTATAAGTTCAGCATCATTTGATATCTCAACCCTGGAGCTTGAAGACGTTTGGTTTTCTGCTGAAATGTTGTCAGGAACACCAATACCAATTGATAGTATTTTACGTGTTTTCAAAGGTGATTTTGCCCAACTGTCGTCCAATTGATTGTGAAAACGTTTTCTTATCTTAGTATAGATTTCCCTAGCCTCAAAACAGCGTTCACATTTAGTACCAGACATTTTGTGCGTAATTACCATATTTGGGTAATTACGCACGAATGTTAACATTAATGTTTTGTTACGTTATTACCCATATTTGGGTAATATTCGTGATACTCGTAATACGGTTATTATTACAGGGTAATTAATTTTTGCGGGTAAAGTATTTCTGTATCACAATGGAGGGGGACACATACGAAAAAGCTCTTTGATATTATAAAATTCCGATGAACCCGTTTGTACCATTTTGTTTGTGCAAACATAAATTGTATCTGCCGGATAATTTTTGTAGTACGTGTTGGGCATGCAATACCGCAAGACTACGTAAGGGGTTTGAGAAATTGGTTATACGTTATCCGTATGTTGATTGGAAAGCAGTGGAAAAATGGCTGTACAAATTATAGATTTACCACAATTTAAGTTGCTGTGCGATTGTAAACCATGCAAAAGTTGGGACGAAAAATCGGAGTTGATGATAACATGTCACAGGATCACATGCGCGTGTGACGAAAATGTGAATCTTGTATGTAAACGACATGACGACCTGTCGTCTGTACGTTATGTTTGTTATAGAACCGATGCGGGAAATTGTGGTTTTAATATTAACGCTAATGACAAGTTATTTTCTGAATACGTTTCAATTCTAAACAACGCAAGTGATTATTTGTTTTGGTTAACACGTGACAAGTGTGGGTGTTTAGAATCAACGGTGGCATATGTGGAACCCGTAACGGTAGGAACTGCACCTACGAAAATGGAAAATGAATTGCAACTGTTTTATATATGTGACCTTGGATGTTGTAATTATAAAAAGTCAATACCGCAAATAAAGGCTTTACACGGTGATGGCATCCATTGTATATGTGGCGGTGTGTGTATTAAACAAAATTATGTATATAGTTGTCCGCGGCTTGATGGCGGTTGTGGCACATTTTTTCATGAACTGGATTCAATGACGCTTATACAAACTGTAATGTGTAATGACAATCTTGAAGATTACGCTTTTCTATGTTTACCAAAGAAAGCGCGAATGATTTGTGGACAACGCGCTATCCTAAAATACCAATGCAAATCATATTACCTGTATATAAAAGCCGAACTTGTATATAAATGTAGACGTATGCATTTCTGTGGTAATACTTTAAAAGATATATTAATGCACGTTATTACCAATGGGGAAGTTTTATTGTAAATATTTGTTTAAAAATATACATTTTGTAAGATAGAGTTGATGTATTTATTGTTCTATGTTTTTTTACTGTTTTTACGATTTTTTTTACGATTACTGAAGATCTTTTAAGAATTGCATTTGCAATATTCCCGGACCACCATTTGTTCATTTCATGTTCACCAGCCACGATTCCTCCTAAAAATTTTTTTAAACGCACAATTTAATATCTAATTTTAAATTAAAATTCAAAGCTTTAAACATGCACCTACCTACCCCTCTGGATTTGTGGGTTATAGGGGTTGTACTGATTTCGTCGGTTATAGGGGTTGTATTGATTTTGTGGACTGTAACGTTTACCACCCTGCGTGTTATTCACTGATATGTACATATTTTGATGTCGTCGTTGTGGGGGTGGTCTTCTTCCCCCACCCCCCAGACCACCCATTAACAGGAGAGGTAAAATTCCACCATCCTGTTTGGCTGTTTTGTTTTTTTACTTCTTTGATGTTTACCGCCTTTAAAGTTTCCGCCTTTTTGTGTTCCAGCCATGACTACGATCAGTCCTGAAATGCAAAAGCTTTGGGTGGGGGATCATTTTATCAGTTGTCAGATTATATTTTTCGGTTTGGTAGTGAAAAAAAAACCTTTCCGAAACTTTGAATATATGGTGTAGATATGACAGTCGTATATATATGAATTAATATTTCAAAAACATTTTGGATTTGTAAAAGCTATACCCTATTGGCTTAGAAAAGATCTTCGTGATAAAATAGTACATTTTGAAACAACTTTATTTAGAGTGTAATCTTTTGGTTGAAAATAACCGAAATATAAAACAGTATTTGGCTGAACATTTCGGTATTTATATTTCACAATTGGTGGTTGTGGACGCACTACGAAGACACCATTTCGATGGACACCATTTCGATGGACACAATTACACCATAATACGATGGATGGTTTAACATTGATAAGACCGTGGATTAATGAAGACCGAAATCGTTGTACAACATTTTTTTACAAGGGCTTATTTGGTAAAGCAAATATAAAAGTATGGGTTAGTAGTTGTACCATGAGTGAGGATTATAAAACTACATATACATTTGGTGTGTGTTATATTGGAAGAACATCGGAAAAACTAGTGCAATTACAACAAATCGTGTAAACAAAACAATATTTTTTTCAGCCTAGTGAGAATCAAATTATTGCAACCATTATTACCTTTATGGAGGACAAAAATTTGTCTGCAAAAGATGCTGTTGCACAACATGACGATGAAATGAATTGCAAATATAATTATATTTTATTTGTAAAAAGAAGGGAAAAAGATATAAATTATGTATAACATATAATGAAAAAAACCCAACTTTTAAAGAAAAACCCTTCGAACTTTTCTAGTGAATAAAGATATGGTAAAAAGAAGAAAAAGAAGCAAGATAGACATTGAACTGATCAAAAAAGCATCACGTTTATTAAAGGATGAACAGTTACCAAAAGAACAACAAGCCGCGTATTCTTTGCATGCTAAGAAAATATCGAAAATAAGATGTTTAAAAATATTTGTAGAAAAACGTAATCAACAATGGAGTATAGATTTAGCAGATTTAAATGAACTGTCAGGACATAATAATCAATATCGTTATATTCTTGTATGTGTTGATGTTTATACCCGCTATGCTTTTATTAAATTACTTAAAAATAAAACCGTGAATGTTTGTAATAAATTTGAGCAAATTCTTACCGAGTTGGGGGAATCCCCTACACACATTCAGGCCGAAGAGGGTACAGAGTTTGCACAGATTTAAAAGAAATTAGCGCCAGTGTACGGTTTCAAGGTATTTCACACACAAAACAGAGAAATCAAAGCAGCACATGCTGAACGATTTATACAAAAATTAAAGCTGATTGTTCACCATGCACTTACAATGTTAGGTACAGGTTACAGATATATTAAATATTTATCTGCAATAGTTGAAAGGTACAACAAATCACCGCATCGCAGCTTATTTGGTGCACGCCCCGTTGACTTGTACTTGCATAAAAAAATTCCAAAAAATTTTGTTTTTAACACCATTAAAAGCCAGCTAAACGGTTCACAACCCACTAAGAACCTCCTACGTGTGGGTGATCGAGTTCGTATAGCGTGTGTAAAAAACAACATTTTGGAGAAGTCAAGTCTACGGCGCTGGGTAAATGAGAAATTTATCATTGCAAAAGTACTTATCACAGACCCCGTAACATACACTTTAACAGACGAAAAAAGCGAAGATATTGAAGGTATATTTTATCGTGAAGAATTGCAAGATATAAAATGAATGTACAAATTTTTAGCAACACTCCAAATAAACAAGGTGGTCAAAATTTCAATAACAAGTTTGTAATGTCATTACCCGAACAGATAGATGCGGAAAACGAAGGAAAAACTATCCGCGCACTGAATGTGACATACCCGCTGACAATTGAAAATGTTAGGGAAAAATGTTGTGGTATTCGTCTTAGCTACAAGTTTGTCAAATTTCGAGGAAGTACAACTCTGGAGGAAGTAAGATACGAGGCGGAGTGGTTGTAGTTACCCGCAGGATTTTATACTGTTGAAAAAATAGTAGAAACGTTAAATGCATATGTAAACGAATACGACATGTATTTTGTAATATTGTCCGGTGGTCGAATCGGTGTTAGCTTTAATATAGCCGGTATGAATTTTATATACAGATATAGATATGCCGACGCTGTTGCCGAGCGAGCTTATACCATATTTGACAAAACCGATTTTTCATTTGAAATGACTAAAAACCTGAAATACATGTTGTGCTTAGATGAGTGGGAATTGCACTCCACAGTTAAACAGGAAATAATAAATAATTCTTGGCAAAACAATACACAGCTGGAAAATATATTGAATACAATTCAGCTAAAAACACAATCAGGTATATCATACGGCATGGTCAACCTTTTATGGAAAGTTTTTACCCAATATGACAAATGGAATAACGCGTATGTTTATTTACTGTGATGAAGTATCGCATTCGACCGTTGGACATACATCCGCACCATTACTAGCTGTTTTAAAAATTCAAACAGAGGGTACGGGTAGCGGTGATTTGTATACACACAACCTTCCGTCAATAGTTCACGATTGATTTAAATGCAAAATTAACAGTCTACATATAAGGGTTTGCGATGTGGAAAACAATTTAATACAGTTCAGCGCAGGTACTGTGGGTATAGAGTGTGTAATCGAGTGAAGAAATGCTGCGAATAAAATTGGAAGTTGAAAATGCAGAACTGATACCTAAAGAATACGAGTTACATGATGTCAAATCTTTTTCGCATATAGCAAGCGAAAACAAGTATTACAATGTGGTATGCGTAAATACAAACTTTAGGAGTAGTTTTGGGCAATTCGGACTGCATTATACACGAAAAATGGATTATAGTGAGTTAAGTGACGGTGAAGAAAAAGTAGTAGAAAGTGTTTTTGGCAAGGGAAAATTAACCATTGTAAAAAGTATCAATAACGTATATATCAACGGTATCGGTCTACAATGTTTTGGTTCTGCCCCGCGATTATTAACTAATTATTTTGAAGGTACTGGTAATATAAATGCGGCAAATATAAATGGTACAAAAAGAAAATTACCCCATTTTATTGTTTGCCCGCAGTCTCGAGCAGTTGAAGCAAACTGTTCATTTTAAAATATTGTGGAAGAATTATACACAGTGGCGTAGCCAGACCTTCATTTTTGGGGGGGCAAAGCGGACGCCGAAGGCGCGAGACCATCTATGGAGGTCCGGGGGCATGCACCCCCGTGAAAATTTTGAAATTTAGAGTCCCTGAAATGTGATTTCAAGCATTTTGGGGGTGAAATCTTGCAGAATTCCGAAGATTATAAAGTACGCCCTAGGGGGGTTCGGGGGCATGCACCCCAGGGAAAATTTTAAAATTTAGAGTCCCTGAAATGTGATTTCAAGCATTTTGGGGGTGAAATCTTGCAGAATCCCGAAGATTATAAAGTACATCAAAGACATAAATTTTCCCAGACATTTCTAAGTTTCTACTCGCTTTTATATATGATATAGAATATGTCTGAGAAGAATATTCATGTTATCATAATGCATATACATGTACATCTAAATTAAATCTATTCCTCTTGGAACCACATCTACAACTGTTTTAACGAGATTTTAGAAATCAAGTTCTTCCAGTATTTCGTCGTTTTCCTCAGTCGAGACGTACTTAATCCGTTTCAGCTTCGAGGATGGAACCTGTACCCCCCCCCATTTCTCTACGGATTTAGCCTTTTTCAGAGAATAGTTTTTTTTGCGATTGGGGGGGGCGACCGCCCCCCCTTGGCTACGCCCCTGATTATACACCGCTACAAAACAACAGTCCGAATATGGGTAAATACGTAGAAGTTATTTTGAACATTTTCGACGAAAATTAAACATGAACAAGGACGATTATTATAAATTATTCCATGTTAGCAGAGTGCGATATATAGAGCATAATTTGGTTCATCTACCTAATACTGCAAAATCTATGGAGGAACGTACATTAGATCAAGTGGCCCCTCCAGCACAATTAAACCCGTATTATATGCCAAATCCCAAGATTCGAAGAACTGGTCAAATACAACAACAACAACAACAACCACAAACAAACAGTGGTAGACGTTTGGTATCCAATAGTGTATTACGTCATATATACAGAGATAAATAATGGTAAACTTCAAAGGAGCTAAGAAAAATGCGGGTTATATGGTCCAGTGGGCAAATAGATATGATTTAAGAAGAACAAAACGACGACAAAAAGGTGGTGCAATCGGTGCGGGTCTGGCGATGGGTATGGCTTTACCTATGCTTTTGGGAGCTGCGGGTAAAATGTTACCTGGTATTTTTGGAAAAAAGAAACAGGAAACAGTTAATAATAATTATGGGGGGGGGGGGGTCGAAGGCAGACACAACCACCATGTTATTATCAACCGCCACGTTACTATCAACCACCACCAACTCGTTATTATCAACCACAACCCCGTTATTATGCGAGAAGACAACCAGTTCGAAAACAACCAGTTAGAAAACAGCCGCCTCGGACTGTAAAAAAAGATAAACATTTAGTAATTGAAATTAGTTGTAAAATTTAAATATTGTGAATAAATCAATTTTATCTTATAAAGCATTGTTTTTTATGTGATTCTTTATCATTTGCGTACAAACTGTTGCAGCAAGATGAGTAAACGTGCACGACAAGACAACCCCGATGAACCCGTTGAGGTTCACGACAGCGGGTTTATGACACCGATGATTATGTTTCCAACATTTCCGCACAATGATACGTTTGTTGATAATCGTACGCTACAGGTTAATGCTACACCTGTTGACAGTAACGCAGATGTATATACATTTATACATCACAAACAAGAATATGGAATTATGAATCTTCAAGATGCAACAATCTCCGCTACCATATCATTGAAAGATCGGAACAACAATGATTTGGCTAACGACCAAAATGTTTCGCTGAATATGCTGTTACGTATGTTTTGGAAAACAAAGGAAATTTTAATAAACGATCAACGTATCAATAGCGTGACGTCCCAAGAAAATGAATTGGTCTATATTAGCCATTTACTTCGAGAAGTACCTACAGGGTATAAACCTGGGCAAGATATCAATTTATGTATCCATTCTACCCGGCTCATTTTGATACTCGTACAAATGTTCACAATGGCACAGTGGGTAATGTTAATAAGGGAGCGAGAAATCGTTATCTGGCGTGCAATCAGACTACCCCACTTGAATGTTATGATTCAATTGATATCATGGGTGACAATAAACGTTTTGTACCCACATCATTTGAAATCAAGGTAATTTTACAGCATTTAGAGAAAAATAAATGTTTGTTTGGGGCTGATGCTCAATGTCAGGCGGCATTTATTCATTATGATAATTTACAAATCAGAATTCCGGCTATGAAACCAAAGTTGCAATTAACCCAAGCAATCAATCAAACAATGATTCAGAATGGTGAAGAATGCAAATACTATATCACATCGTATCGTTATGTTCCCACACCGGTGGCTGCGGGTACAAGCCGCACAATATTAAATGATATTTTTGCAGGTTCCAGACCGTCGCGTGTTATGACTTATTTAAGAACGCAAACATGTTACAATGGTTCGCATATCCTTGATCCAATTTTAATTCCTTTTCCCAATTTGGAATTTTTTGGCATCAAAATTAATGATGCCTATGTGAATCCGTGTGTAGAAAATTCATGTGAAGCATATACAAATTTGCGACGCGTTTTAAATCGTTGTTATGATGAAATGCCATTTTCGCATGCAGATTACCAAACCAGTTATGGTATTATAGTAACTGATTTATCGCCAAATAAAGACAGTTACAATCAAGTGTTACCCAATTCAACCAGCGGTGTGGTGAGCTTAGAAATGCGTTTATCTCAGAATTTGACAGCGAATAGCCAACTTATTAATATTGGTGAATTTAGAAATCAACTTTCAGTTGGTTATCAGATGCAGGCGAGGTTAAAATACGATTTTTAGGGTAAAAAAAGACTTTTTTTCAATATGCCTTGTAAAAGATTAGGAAGAATGAAAAATTAAATGTAAACGTCCTTTAAACGCTGTAAAAATACCAATCTTTCGCAGTAAACGTATCATTGGTGGTGAAGGTGTTGCTGTGCGAACAATTCACATTAAACCTGTGGTATCAAAATATGGCTGAACCTGCTAATCCTAATATAACAAACGATGACAATGATGATAATAATGATGAAATTGTTAACGAAAACAGTGAACAAAAGGGTGAAACTGATAATGAAGATGTTATTTATGAAGATGAAGAGGACGATATAAAATTAGAACAGCAACAACCGGGTAATTATTATGATTACTACGATAACGGCTGTGGTAATAACGCTCAAAATAACGATTATTTTGACTACAATGCCGGTAATAATAATTTAAATAGTAATGATAACGATGATGATGATGATGGTGGGTTAGATGATGAAACATATCGTGTTTTTTTACATCAGCTGATTGAAGCAAGAAAATCAAGTGCGGCTAAACGTAAACAAGGACAATTTATCCCGGCAACTAAGAAGTATTTAAATTCTGGTTTTGGACAACGTTCAAAGTTACTAACACCAAACCTAATCAAAAATTTATTGTACCTATGTGAGAATATTATTAATGGTAAAATAACAGTTGAAAATATATCACCGGCAGACGGGGTTAATGCACTACATTACTGACAAGTCCACAACGAAAGAAGATGTTTTTATTGTAACTTTTGTATTTATGTGACAAATTCAATAAACATGCTTGTGCATGCAGAGCTCATTGTTTTAAACACGATAAAACACTCATTTTGTCAATTTTTTTTGGTAAGTTTATTTGGTGCATTCATTTTAAGGATTAGGATTAGCTTACTCAGATGGCGAAGATGATCACCCCGTTCGCATATAAGCGGCGTTCTAAATTTTAAAACTCTCACTGTGAGTGATTTAGAACTGGAGGAACGGGTGGACATTTATACTTACATCTTCCACTCCATAATTGGAAAACCTCCAAACAAACCACTGGCCAAACAACTGGAGCATTTCATTTGATGTCATATCTGGTACTGGTATTGGATCTCCTGGTTCTTGTCTTTTGGACGATTTCGATGCTGGCACAACAGGTCGCATAAGCTGTTAAGTAAAATGATAAGAAAATATAAAATAAAAAAAATGTCAGTTATTGGTTGAAGCAAACTATGTTATAATGTAGTACCGTCATAAACGCTTGACCTTGTCTTGTGAAGTAGTCCACGACTTGTGCCGCAATTTTTAACATTTCCGGCTGTATTTGGTCGTTGATTGTTACTTCTGCCTCCTTGTTTTCCTGTACTTCTTCATTGCTGATGTAATATTACTGATGTAATTTTACATACATACATACATATCTCACAACGCTTATCAACACGTGGAGAACACACGATAGCCTGTAGAGAAACACACATTTATTCCTTTATAACTTAATTATGCATCAACTATGAAATTAAGCATATTTAAGCATATAGTTAGTAAACATTTAAGTAATTCATTCATTTATTTGTCCCACTTTCACCATACATTAAATTTTATTGTTATTAAACCGTTTATTAAATAAACCATACCGCAACTGAAAGACTGAATTATGTGATCTTTTTTTAATATATATAAGTTTTGTTTTTAATATACTGTTCAATTTAAAATAGAAATTCCCTAAGTTTGTATATGCACCATCCAAACCTTAACATAGACTAGTGTTACTTCCTGGTGACTGAAGCAGGATAAGTTTAATCTTACCTGGTGAAGTTTCTTTTGTCTTTTGAGAAATTGTCTATGCAGTTACTTCCACTGTCCCATTGGGCATTCATTTTGCTGCTAATGGGGTCGGAGTATTCAATGAACATCTTCTTGGCTTCAGGGGAGTAAGCGTAGATCTTGCCACTCTTGTGCATTTCAAAAATACTCTTGTATATTTCTAAATAAAAATAAATAATGATACAATAAACTACAAAAAAGTCTTACCATTCCTCAGGTCAAGTATTACTTATCTATGGTGACATAACTTGCAATTGAACTAACCAGTAAATCCCCGCATTTTGTACTTCATAAGTTTTCCACACCACTCCTCCACTTCTTCTTCATAAAGTAGATGTGGTTTTACGGAGCCGATTAGGATTCTGTCCAAGAAACCATCCTTTGTTTTGGCCAACGGCTTAAACAATTATAAGAATGGCTCTGGCTGCGTGAACCCACCAAGCACCAATGCATTCTCCATCAGTACTTCTCGCTTTTCTTTCTTCTCAATGTCAGTGGCTTTGCTGGTGGAAGCACCTGAATTTGTAGCAGCAGTTGTAAGTGCCCATTCAGCTATACCATCATATAATTCAGAGAATATCTGCCGTTCCCTCAAGCCTTCCTGCTGTTTTTTCAGGATCAGTTCGTAGAAGGAACTCATCTCAGCATGTGCCACTAGGGCTCTTCCTTTGTGGGAGACCAAATGTTGGAATAGGCCTTTTCGAGTAAAATCATGGACTACCATGGAATGAGCCGGTCGCTTCAAATGGCGAAGTGGGCGTTGTACAGCTATCTGAAATGCCTGCAATTTGCCGGCACCGGGCTCACTCAAACAAACGCTGTACAGGTTGCAGGGTTCTTGGTATTGCTCGCGAATTTCTAACTTGGTTTTGGGCCCGATTAAAGTGGATACAACAGAAATGGCAGCAATCAAAACGAATTCTGGTCTGGTGTTGACGGAAAGTGCCACAGCATAGATATCTTATATACACTAGATAGTGCATCTAATTATTCTGCAATTCAAAAATCCATGCCGTGATTGCAGTCTCAGGTCGTTCCCATGAAATGAGAAGGTTTGTATGTTTTCTATTTCTTAAACAGGGTACTTAAGAGGCTGTCTCTCTAAGAACCGACCAATGACTCTCGGCTCAAAAAATGAAATTCTTCGTTACTTTCACAATGAAATGTATTTACCCCAAGAACAAACAAACACTATTTGGAATTTTTATTAATTTTTATAATTTCAGTGATTTTTCGGTCCTGCACCGTCGCACAGAAAATCCTCTGCCCATAACAGGCATAAAAATTAGTCGAATACATATAATTTTAAATGTATTCAACCAAATTTTATGATTTTTTCACCAACCAACGTGAAAATTATTCTACTTTGAAGCTTGGCTTGTTTTATGATGCTTTTACAGAATGATTACGACAAACTTTTGCGATAACAACCACCGGGTGTAAATACGGCTTTGTACGCTTATCAAATTCGACTTTAAATTTCTCAAAAGTGGCACCTAACTGGATTCAGTGACTAATATGGTTAAAAAAATGTAAGTTTGAAGTACCAATATCCATAATAAAACTTGTTACCAACCGCGATTTGAAGACTCAACAGCCTCTGAAATTTGATACAATTTGGCTATTTTGTTTAACTTCAATTATAGTGGAGTTGAGACATCAGAGCTTCCAGTCACTTGTAAAATGCGTTGTTGTGCCGTTTTTTTTACACAAGCTGTTAATATCATCGTAGTTAAGCGATTTTTCTGTGTTCATGAACATCACAAGTGGATTTAATTAAAAAAGATTTCGATCTATGGCTATGCAGCGAGGTAAACGCAGTATGCTTTCATATTAAAATTAGCTACTCGGGGAAAACCCGGAAATTATTGTGAATGCTGATATTTATTCAGCTAAACTCTGTATGTCTATTCTATGGCGGGTGATGTGTGTCAAAATTCAATGACACATTTGGCAATGATAACATAACATTTTGCTACAATACTAACACATTTGGCAATGATAAAGTAACTTTTTGCTACAATTTTGAGGTGGTTACAAAATTATTTTGTATATTTTGAGACAATAATAAACCATTTGGCAATAATAACACTCAATTTTGCAATCATAAAATTATATATTTTTTAATACGACGATAAAATTCTATTTGACAACGATTACAATTTGGCAACGATTACTGATGTAAAATCAATTTGGCAAAGTCAATCCCATGATGCAACGCCAGCAGCGTTTAAAATGGCGCCAAAATACGGCGCGAAATATTTACGTAATAAAAATAAAATGGCGGATAATCAGCAAGCTTCGTCTGCGGCTGATGAAATTCAGTCATCCCTTCTGCAAGCCAGAGATCTTATTGTTCAAATTATTGATGGAGTTTCCAACTCGCCATTGACAGCTAACACATAGACAGCTAACACATCGACAGCTAACACATCGACAGCTAACACATCGACAGCTAACACATCGACAGCTAACACATCGACAGTAAGAACCCCTAACACATCAACAGCTTATTCATCGACAGTAAGAACCTCTCTCTTGAGTGAGCAACAACGCGTTAATACTCCCAATAATACAAATTTACATAATAGAGCGTTGGAAGAGCACCGTCGATTGTTTGGGTTTTCTGGACAGTTGATCGTTAGTAGTACTTCACAATCAAACGGGAAAAGAAGTCGTGGAAAAGGCGGGAAGAATGGTAAAAGTGCAAAGAAACCTAAAGTTGCTACTTGGACTCATGCTTTCGTTTGCCTTGCAAAGAGAACCCAAGTACTCTTGCTTACACCTCGAGAGAGGTATGAATTAAAATCTGCAGGAATCGGTGAGAAAAAGATAACCGTTGAGATTAAAGACAAGGGATTTGAAGACTTATATAGTATTCCTTTGCAAGAATTCCCATTGCTGTCTCATGCAGGTGGGATCGAGTTGATGCGGACAGGTTTTGCGGCTAGGAGCAAAACCCTTGAAGTGATTCCTGTACCAACCGGTTCCTCCAGTTACAGCATCCAATACCTAAAAGAGGTACTCCAACAGGCTAAGTGCTATGTTAGACCAATTCAGAAGGATTTACCTGTGGTTATTCCTCACGACTGCCAGGGCAATTTAAATACTTCTACTAATGAGGTAAGACTGTAGTTTATCTTGGAAAAGCAGGGCCTTTTTAACTATATAACTGGGGTTGATTGGTGGTGGGGTGCAAAGCCCTTCCAGCAGCCAATACCCCCCCAAAAAAAATCAACCATCCTCCCCCCCCAGTCAAAGCCCCTCTTCTCTAAAATATGAGCAAAACATTGGAAGAGAAATGGAATTTAGAATGGAGGTTTGATATTCTAGTAACTGAAATTTGCTTTGTGAATCTTATGTCATGTCTTTTATCTTCAAATGATTCAATGTCTTTTTAAAAAATGCTAAACATTGCAGGGCATTCAAAAGGAGGTGCAGCAGGTGGCACAAGGTTTACGGCCGGTTACTTTATATATACTTTAACACATTGCGTCTCAACTACACCACCCAGCTGTTCAGCTAAACTCAATCTTCTCTCCAAAAACAGACCAAGAGAAAATCCCTGCATTTACTGTAATATTGTAAATGTAAAAAGTTTTCCTAATTCTTTTGTGATGTGTATTTAGGAATCATCTTGCCCACGTGAACAGTGCAGGTTGTGTTTGAAGAGTATTCCAATTTTGCAAATGCGGAGGCATATGTGGTCCTGTGAGATTACTGAATCATCATTCTCTGTCGAGGTATTCTTCTATGTATAATTAACCTGAAAAAATTTTTATTTTGAACTTCTGACACTGTATTAATTTTACTAATAGTTATGTCTGTAATAAGTGGAAATATTCTTTCACTTATAGCCAGAAATAATATGTGAATCAGATGAGGAATCCAACTCTATTCCGGAGTCTCTTCCACATTCTGAATCTCCTTCTACAAGTGGAAGTAGCTCTATGGTGTCTTATATGGTAAGAAACAATTCATTATTTAATTTGTCATTTGTCCACATTTATTCAATTAGTGATTTTAATACCATTTTTATTGAGTAAAACTTTGATTTTTAGGAGCCTGGTATTGACGAATTGAGAAAAATTTTCCCAGATCCTCCAAACCAAGTATTGGTTGAGGCAATGCTAAAAGGTGGAACCGTTGAAGAAGCGATTAATATTTTACTAGATCAAACAACAACTGGTATGTGCATATCTATTGCTGTTGCACAAATATTACTTTATTCTGTCAACCAAACAATGAATCAGTTCTATTTAGTGTCTTCTATTTTTCAGATCATTCAAAGTTTATTCAAGACGAATCCGATCTTGCAGAAATCATGTTTGGATTAAAAGAGGATTTACCCATTGATGAAATTCAAAAGTTCAGTATAGACCATCAAGAGCTCTGGAAGATAGCATAGCAGCATTCAAAAACCCTAAATTCAAAGATTCATTTCGACCACGTGTAAGATTTCTTGGTGAAGCTGGAGTAGATGCTGGCGGTCTCTCTCGAGAATATGGACTTATTCTGCGTAAAGAAATATTCTCATCTAATGCCAACCTATTTGAAGGAAAGCAAACCAGAAAATTGCCAATATACAACATCAATGGCATTCAGTCAAATCTATACTATCTGGCTGGAAAGATGGTGGCTTATCTCATTATTCATTTGGATATTGGCATCCCAATGTTAAGTCCAGCATTCTATTATTATCTTGTTTCCAAAGATATTGAAAAAGCATCAGAATACTGCTGCATTGAGGATGTACCAGATCATGAGACAAAAGAATGGATTAATCAGGTAAAAATAGTCAGACACTTTTACTGCACAGTAATGAGTAACTTCACTGCGCCTTATCCCTGGTATACTTAGTATAAGGTGATCATGCGATGGCGTGTATGGAAATTTTGCCAAATTGGAGGAGCAGCTGGGGTGAGTCCAATTTCTCAAAATTTCCAAACATCACGAGTACTATTAATCCCTCTTTCTACGAGCAGCATTGCATGATTACTTATTTATTATTAGGGACCGGTCATTATTTATGGAAGGGAGGGGGGGGAGGGGGAATTTTTTCTTTCCTAAATTTTTAAAATTGAAAGCCCGG